AAATCCCCTTTTATTCTGCCCGTCACTTGGTAACAGTCCCTGATTTTTTTTTTGTTGGTTTCATCAGAAATTAAACTTCAAATACTTTCTCAATAATAAGAAGTCATAAAAATTCAGAAATGCCAAGCAATTCAGTCTTTATTATGAAAAAACCGTCTACTAAAATTTGGACATTCCACTTATCACGCAGTAAACATTTAATAGGAAAAAAAAATATACACATTTCAATAAAATGATTTCCAATCGGCTTACACAACATCGCCCCGCGGAGGCTTTCTGCAAAGCATTTATCTACGCAGTTAGCAACAGGGTGAAGCGATCACGACATTAGGAAATCTACCGCCTCTCGCTCAGGGGGGTAGTCAGGGTTGCCACTTCCCTCCCACCTAATCTTTGATGTACCTTTGTATATTCATTTGGTATAATAAATTGTTTCTACTTTATGGGCGTGTTCTCCTATACAGACAGATAATAATTACATTAAAGATGTCTAATTATTCCAAATAGGTAATATGTAGGAGCTAAATGAACCTCAAAGGGCTTAAAAGAGAAAGGAAACACAAACAGATTTTAATTAACAAAGATTAATTTGCTCACTTTGTTATCATCTAGCGAAAAAAATTGTGGACTAAGTGCTATTTGCGATTCACCGTGACAATTTAAATTATACCGTTTTATATGCCTGTTTGCCCAGCCCAAAACTGAAAATACTCGCTCGTGTCTTATTCTAAACTAGCTTTCCGCCCGCGGCTTCGCGCGCGTGGACTACATTATCTACATATTTTTCGGAACCCTATTTTTTTCCAAAATAAAATATAGCCTATGTTACTCGTGGATAATGTAGCTTTCGAATGGTGAAAGAATTTTTAAAAACGGTCCAGTAGTTTTTGAGCCTATTCATTACAACCAAACAAACAAACAAAGTTTTCCTCTTTATAATATTAGTGTAGATAATAATAATTATTGTAAGTAGACAGCCTGGCTCGGGCCACCCCTGAAGCCCGGGCCCCTTCCCGGGCGAGCTGCGTAGGCGTGTGTTGACAAACGGCGCGAGTCTATTTCAGGAGGCCACGCCCAGCCCTCCGCCCTCCGCCCGCGCCCCGCGCCCTTGAGGCCTTGACCTTCGTTTCCAAACAACCGCAGTCACAACAACGGTGCCGGTCATTTTCTTTCGTGTTTGTATTTGCTGAGCATCACTCATGGTGGGCATGGTGGTATGGCGTGGAGATCCTCTTTATGGTGTCAAAGTTGAATAGATTTTGGCGAACACTTTAAAGAAAAAGAAAGTCAATATTTGGCAAAAACACCTCGCTGACACAGAAGGCGCTGCGGTGGAAATCTTTTGACAAAGCTTATTCAGTTTAGAAGACATAAATTCAAAACATTTTCAAAGAAAATTCAACATCTGTATTCTTAATACAATACTGGGGCGTGTCCTCTTTCCCACCACTACATCTAATCTTCTTGGAAACCCGACCAGTGTATTGAATCTCGCTACGAAATTAATTAAAGTAAATATGATTAGTATCAATTCTCTTCAGAGAATAGCGCGCGAGAGATACAACCTTCACGACACGATAATAAAAACAATATTCAATATTACTTTATTTATTTTATTAGTAAATTCATCGCTTAAGAAATATTTCAATAATAATATAATTTCAATATAAAATAAAAATTTCACTTTATTAATCGTTACTGTAAAAGTAATAAACCAAGGAAAAGCTGAAAAAGTTGCGACGCAATGGAGGATAGAGTCGCGTAAATAATGGGTTTTAGTTTTGAAAAAAAAAAATGTTTACTACAAACGAGTACAATACAAAAACTTACAAGTATGTCAGACTAGGGTCAACAAAATAGCATAATGTGTTATTTTTGACGTGCGTGAACGTTAGCAAGGATAATTCTTTCAGAAAGTGCTTATTTTAAAACACATTACAAATACCAATTTGAGTATGAAAGACCATAATATCGACATCAACTCATTTCAATCGAAGAGAAAAATGATAAACGGGGCCTCATTTACCAACCGACACCCTACCCCTCCCACTTGCTACGCCGAAAAAAACCTTATCCAAAGTACAATAAGGTCGTGAAAACTGGGAGCTACATCCATTTTCTCAGAAATTAAACTTATAAACTTGAGTTTTTTGTAACATACTCGTAATTTCTTTGTTATTAAGGACACTTAATTTATAATAATTTACCTATATGATGAAGTTGTGTACGGTACATTATTGTCTTTGAGTCTAGTGTCCACCAATGCACCTTTGCCACACCTAATGCTTCACAGCAGTGAAATCAATAATGAATTCAAATAAATGAAAATAAGTCAATTTAGTGCTAATACTAGTGAAAAACGTATTTTCAGGTCTAAGATAAGAGCACGCAAATGAAAGAAAATGGAAAATGAGAGAGAAAAATGAGCATCAAGCCAGGAAAAATTCGGTTGTTTATAGGCCAACTCATTTCTACCACGATTAGATGTCATTCTTGCAAGTCAATTGCAAGAGTTATGTAAAAAAATATTCAATTAAGGCTTAGAAACCTATGAAAGATCGTTATAGGAAATAAATTCAGAAACATGATAAAAATAAAGTTAATCGTGTTAATGAATGAACACCTAACAGTCAGTACCAAAACAGACATAATGATGACATACCTACAAAAGGTAGACACTATCCGTACATAGAGATTGAGGTATCTAATAAACATCAAGAATATGTATTTACATATTCATTGGTAAAATAAACACTGTCTAGGTACCTATGTTCTCGTTGTTTTTTAAGGAAATGTGTAGTAAATGGAAAAAAACTCAATACTAATACTATAGGCAAGTTTTGTATTTATTTTTCTATTAAGTTTTCACTTTGCTGAATGAATTTTATGAATTTTGGTGTAGAGATAAATGGAGTCAGATGAACTCATACCTTTTAACGCAAAACTAAATCTTAAAGAATGGAAAATTAGGCTTAAAGTCCCTTCAGTTATATGAAAACTCAAAGTACGTATTTTTGATCCAATACGTGCGCGACAGAAACTTTCTGTAAAATGTGTAATTCCACGCAAACGCAGCCGCAGGCAGAAGCTGAAGAGAAAACAAAGGAAACATCGAGAAGGTTTCCGCGCACAAAATAATTCGAAACCTTTATCATATTGTTTAAGATAAGTAAAGAAAAGACTATTAATAGCCTTCGGAAAAGTTCTCGGCTTCCCGGAAAAATATTTACAAATGCTATTATAATTTGAAATTTCAGCAAATTTCCAGGAAGTAACATCCATGCACGCCCGTTACCCCGGCGAAGGGGTCGCTTACACGTGGCGAGGGTGAAGGTCACAACCGCACCATCACTAACCATGTTTCTTTGTATCTTAAATAAAATTTATAAAATAAAATAAAATCTTAATTTCATAGCGCGAAGGCAGCGTCTTCCGATTAAGTTTTCACAATTTTTCAATGTTGCCTGCTTAGTTTTATTTTACCTTTAGTGGAAGGAAACACCACATTGTTGAAATGTTGTAAGTAAATTACTTGCTGATACTGACGTGTGATAAAAAAAATGTCAGAGCTGAAATGTGAAGCTGTGAGTACTAATGTAACTCATATAGAAATGTTCCGTCCAAGACCCGTGTTTTAGAACCGTCTTTAAAGCACTTGTGGACCTGTGAATTAATGTGTCCGACGACCATCGAGAAAGTGGCCATGTCACGACGACCAAGAGAAGGCGGCCTAAGTATACAATAGGAAAAGCAGAGAAAAAGAAAAACCTCAAGACCTGGATGACGGTTTTCCTGGGGAATATGAAGACACATAGCAATATGATGAGAAAAGGAGAATTTAAGTAGATTTTATAAAAAAAATAGAGATGTCTTTGTAATTTCTTTTTGGATTCCCGCCGTAGACAAAAGCTCGTACAAGCTCTTGCACTTAGCACTGTCAAGTAGCCATGTGCAGCAATAAACAACAGCTGAGCCAGCAGCCCGACCGAGCAGGGCCCGGCGCTCCGGGGCCCGCGCGGGGCGGGCGGGGGCGGCGGGGCCCGGCAGGGCTGGCGCTATTTATACAAAATCGATAGCGGCCGTGGCCTTGGGCGCATCGATCGGCGGGCGCGGGCGTGCGAGCCGAGCCCCCAGCCGCCCACGGCTCCACGGGGCCCGCGGCGCAGGCGCCCTCCGCACGCTTCCCGCTTTGATTGCAATTAAAATATACAGCTTCAGCGACAGAATTAATTGTTGATTTTATTGAGGTCAGCCCTAATGAGCGTCAGCTTGTCGTCTTCATCTTATGAGGGAAGGCTTTCACAATACATTGTCACGTTTGGTTTCCAGAAATTCTGTTACGGTTTTATCCCAACCAACAACAGTTAAGACAACAAAGCGTCGAGTTTGCTTAGGCGCTACGAATGTTTACCACAATATATTTTTAGTAGTTAATTGAATAAAAAACACCTGAAATTGACAATTTAGAACAGTTTCAATGAAGTTTCAGACAAAAAATACGTTTTTACAACAACGAAAATTAAGAGGTTTTTATTGCGGAAATTCCATCAGGTACTACTGGCTAAAAGCTATACGTTAAGAAGTAGGTACTAGAAATAATCCCTACTCTATTAAACGCCTTAGAAATGTGGAGGAATGACAGGAGCATAATCATCATCATCATCATCATTTCAACCATAGGACGTCCACTGCTGAACATAGGCCTCCCCCAATGATTTGATTTCCATAATTCCACTAGTAGCGGATTGCATCCAGCACCTTCCTAACTACCTTTATGAGGTCTTCGGTCAACCTTGTGGGTGGACTTCCTACGCTGCGCTTTCCTGTACGCATAGGAGCATAATAAATTAACGATTTCTCAGACTTTGGCACTACTATAAAAATAATAAATGCAGTTTATTTTCTCACCTTAATCAACATAATATAAAAGTGCATTTGGTACTTACAACTAGATTATTATTAGATTACAACTAAGGGAGACTGGTGTCTAATTTACTGACCTGAATGTGATGAGGGCGCGGGATCATCCTCCATTGTTGCCACCTGAAACCAAACAAACACCTTTAAGACTTTTTGCTTATAAAAGGAAACAAAAATGAAGACATAATGATAAAATCTTCCGAATCTAAATTCCATCCACTCCCAACGTTGTGAATCCCTACTACTTAATTAATTCTTGAGAAAATAAGGCCTGAAATGTCCTCCGATGGAAATTTACTGAATCGATTTTACTGTTGATAAACGTTTAAAGGGGATGTGGTGAAGAGAGGAACAAGCGTTTGAAAAGATTTTCTTTGAACTCTCAACTCAATCATGAAAATCAAATTGTCAAATTCTAGGTACACACGTTGACAACTGGACCACTAACTAACCTTCGTAAATGAGCTCCGTTTGTCGCGTGCTAAAGATTTACGCGAATGGAGTAAAAAACTTTTTATGTTACACGTGGCCTCAAATCCGTTTATGAATATTAGATGGGCATCGATTGGGAGCGGCGAGTAAATAGTAGCCCTGGAACTACGCCGCGACACTTCTTGGAAACGCTCGCCCGTGGGGCTCGGGCGGCCCCGGGACATAACACACAACTATTACATACATAATAAACTTATATAAAAACTGTATAAAGTAAGGACGGTGTTTTTGCTATATCTGCCGCTCTTACGCTTTATTACATACATGTATGGTTGAGTGAGAATTCATAGGTTCTTCTTTTTACGAAAAATCTGTGACATAGGGTAAGCCAGCCATAAGTAAGACTGATTTGAGCTGAACGCGACACGTGTAATATTAGCAAAAAAACAGAACAAATGAGAATCAACACGTGTAGTCGACAAAAAAATATCGTAAAAAACTCATGTTAGGCTGGAGGCCGATCCGGAATTGACGCAACGGCAATAACGCAAAAACTAAACAAATTGGCTACATAAAAATAGATGGTTAATAGATATGATAGCTGTAATAAAACAATCGCATGCATCGCTCTATTTATTTCAGTGTCGACTGTTAATGATTTTTGTTAAATATCGGTGAAACCCGGAACTACATTATATTGGATAATCAGAATGATGCGAACGAGCCTTTAAAAAAATTGGAAATAATTTAAAAGTTATTTTTTCNCTCGCGACGTATCAAACAGTTGATACATGTCTTTTTCCTTACTTCTTCACATCAGCCAGGATATCTTTTTAAATACCGGTGTGATTTAAATGAATTTGGTATCAATTTAAAGGTAAAAGTTTAATCTTTAAAATGGTGCCACTTTTTTTGTTACTAACAAATTCGTTAGTACTCAAGATCGCGTGGAAACAACTTCATGTAAGTGATTCCATAGTTTTGCTCGCGAGTGTATTATTTTCCGTACTTGCAGTCACTCCCGCTCATGACAGCGTCTCAAGATAAGAGAGTGACGGATAACGATTAAGTATAGACAGACATCTTCGAACTCAGAAGCCGCCACGCGCTGCATACACCTAACCAGCGCCCCTAGCTAGACACGCGGTAAAAGGTGACAGTTGTAATTTCGAAACTCTTTTGCTCTGGTGTAAATTACAACTTTCACGTTTTGCCACTTGTCTAGGGGTCCACCATCCATCCAACTAACCAAAATTGATTGCAGATAAAATAAAACAACTGGAGGAAGTTATTGGTGGGCACCTCGAAGCCTGAGACGGAGTTGCGGACGATTCCGGTGGACACTCGGATTTCAGTGGATAGTCCCCGCTAGATGTCCCACATATTCTACTGGCCGTCACCATCGGCCAGCAAAGTATTTCCCGGCGAATAAGGTAGCAGCGCGTAACTCCGCAAATAAAGGATGGAAATCTAAACATTACTCTGTGACTCCAGTCTGGATAGGATGTGCGCCGTGATCAAATACGACGACGACAAATGTATGGGCCTATCCTATCGCGTAAAATTGATAAAATGACGTGATAAAAGCTTATCGCAGCGCGACATGGAACTGATTCACTTTTCTTTTGAGTCGCGAAATTGAAAATCATTTTATGACTGTGTATTTTATATTATTTTATCTAGGTGAATACAGTGTTAATTTACCATTCACAACAAACTAACTCTTACCTTAAGCAAGCTATGATCCTCATCTACATCACAATACCCACAAATTACCCTCACGAATACGAAGTAATTAATTAACCCAACTCAGGTTGAATATGTATGCTTTTCAAAACCAGAATAACAATTTTGCTTGGAACTAGATTACAGAAAACTAAATTATGCTACAATCACAACAGCCATTTATGTGTGATACAAACTTTATAGCAATACACCTATTCATACATTATAAAGAGGAAAGATTTGTATTTTTGTATTAAATTAGCTCCAAAACTACTGGACCGATTTGAAAAAATAATTTTCCATTAGAACCCTTTTTTTTCTTATAAAATAGAGGCATAATTTTTATAATTTTTGTTAAACACCTATTATGTATTTAACCTGAAGCAGGGGCAGGCCACTAGTTTTTAATATATAATTACACAATAAATTATTAATGTTTGATTAATACTACATAGGGTGTGGCAATATTTTAATAACCATTTGTAACTTTAATCTGGCAATTAAATGATTTATGATAAGTAACTAAGCTGTATAATATGTATGTACCTAGGTGAAGAATATAGGCAATCTTATGTTGTTAAAAAATTGAAGGGGGAGGAAAAATTCAATGCTGATAAATAATTATATGTTACCTACACTTTCATAAATAAAATGATTTAATTATTTTTCAAATGTTTTATGAATAAATATATTTGATTTGATTTGATTTGATTTGAAATTATATCAAATCAAATCAAATCAAATCATTATAAAAATCTAAATATATAAAAAAATATATCATATTGATTTGATTTGAAATTATATGTGGGAGATTATATTGGTTTCAATTCTTTACATTATAGACTCATTTTTATTAGTAATTGCAATGAAAATATTTTGATTCCAATTGGATAATACTCTGTAAATAAAATAAATAATATTAGGCTACTCAATCATCATTCTATGCATACCAGGTGCTGGCTCAATCAACTCGCTACCAGTAAACATAAAAGAGTTATGAGTGGTAAAAAGCAAAAAGCACATTTCGGTAAAGTAATATTTTAAGAACTGTGTATAAGCTGTTTTCAGAACGGTACACTACATAAAGTTTATTCTTTTGTTAGCAAGCATTGTCATATTTGATTGGTGATGTGTAAATAGTAGATACATATTGAGATATGCATGGTATGAGAGAACCCAATAAAATCCCTAAATATTGTTCCAGATACTTTACAATGCAGTTCTTTTTTACTTACTTAAAATTTATTTTTACTTATTGTGCTTTAAATATTGTTGTTCTTTTTAATCAAAGCATATAAAACTACCTACCTACATCATCAAAATGTCATTCTTTGGATCATTCCAACCAAGCCAAAATTCTTATTTGTTTAAGCTAGAAAGAGGCGAAAGTTCATGTTTCATTAATATCCAATACGTATTGTGTTTTGTATATAACTACCAGAACATAACAAGTATAAAAATAATAATCATTTAGGTATGTAGGTAGTTGTGATGAAGCTTTTACATCAACTTCAATCCATGTTTTTGTACAATATTGAAAAAAAATATTTAACTGAGTAATATATACTCAAATATTGTTTATTCTTGAAACAGTTGATTTGTAGGTCAGACAAGTTTATGAAAAAACCATGAAACGATGCGTAAAATGATTAGGAACTCATACAAACCAGCTGGACTTCCACGAACTCTTAACAATACCCTCTTCGTGAAATTACACAAAACTAAAGTCTCGAACACTAGTTTGGCAACATATTTCAATAAACTTTGAAGAAAATCAACATTTAAACTTAACATTCAATTAAAATTAACACATTTTGTTCAAAACAAGTGGAAATGTATGTTTTGACCAGAATTTGACGTATTTTTTTGTATCAAAAATAATGTGTTTGCGTTGAAATCACACGTCGCTGTTTTACTCTATCATCATTGGTCAATATGAATTTAGTAAGTAATGTATTGTTGAGGAACCAATAGGATTCCAAGTATTTTAAGTCTAATGTGTTAATGAAAACATACTGAATTTCTATCAATCAAAACCCGTTACAAAGCACAAAACCGATAAAAAGAGCAACACTATTTTAGTCGTATTTATACGTGGCAAATTCAGTTTACTCAGTGCCTCAACATTATCCTAAAAAAAAAAGACAGCACTCCTCAGTTGACAGACGTCAAAATACAAATCCAAAAAATACATTCTGCTGTTCTGAGTGGTTCTGAGTATCCATATCTGTGTTCTGAGTCATCGGGAAATAAATTTTCCTGTATTTAGTATTTAAAATAAGCTAGTGATTTGAAAGTTTTTCCTGATTTCTACCGATTTATTGCTTGTTTCTGTACTCCAAGAAATTTATTCTGAATACAAGTTCTTTGAGATAAGAGCCAAATAAAACTACCTCCCCATCATGTTTTCGTCATTCTTTGGCAAAAGGAGATCATCACCAGTAGAAGATGACACGCCACCCATTCCAGGACCTAAATCGGATGATGGATTCGTTGTAATTGACCCATCGTCGCCAAGAGGAAGTATATACCCCAGTGTGCCTGGCAGCTCGACCCCAGCCAGTCCGTACCCACTGCGGCCTCCGCCGCCCGTGCCTCAAGCCCAACCGAGAGCTGTTATAGATCAATCCTTCCATTATCTTCAAGGCGTACCGTTCTCCTTCTGCCGTGAACTTCGTATGGCCACCAACAAAGACTCCCTCGTTTCGGAAGTTGGCGACCTTCTGGCATACTTAACGAATAAAGTGAAACTCGAGAGTTATCAATATGATTTTTCAGTCGAAAAAAGTGTTTTGAAGGAATGCTAGCATTAATGCATGAAGAAGATAATAAAATTATTGGCCCTGAATGGACATTGCAGCAAAATTATGTTATAAAAACTTATGTATAAAGCTTTACAATAATACTAACTAAAGTATGCTTTATGTGCCTTGTTTTCAAGAGATGTTAATTTGTAAATTTGTTGTTAAATCAAAATATATTCTATTAATTAGTGAAGGTAACTAACTGAAACACCAGAATTTACACAAGGACTTTATATTTGTTATTTAAATTACTCAACAATACAGCCTGTAGTTTTAGAGGTATGTACTGCTATGATATGTACCATTACTGTGTACTGTAGAAATGCACTAAAATTTAATCTAGAAGAAAATAGTGATGTAAACTTTGATTTAAGTCACAATATTGTGTAGCTAGTCTAGTGTATCATTTTATATTATTATTTTATTTCTTTTTTTACTTTATTTTGATGTAACCAACCAATGTTCACTGAATTGTCCCTCCATTTCAAGTGAGGGAAGTGTCCTGTTTTCATTGTTTCCAGTCCACATAAATAAAATCTATACGAGTCATACAAAACTGGTAAGAAATTGCTATCAAAAACATTATGGTTTTATCAGTACTGGGAATACATTACATTCATAATTAATACTACCAACAAGAAGTTAATATGAACAGATTGTAAATTAGCTATTTAAGACAAAGGTGTAAATAAAATTTTAAATCATAAAAATTGTTTATTATTAACTAAAAATGTGAGTTAGTAATAACTTTTTAATAATAATAATCTGGTAACAAAATATAATACCTAGATATAACTTATTGTTTGGGGAATTAAAAATCAGTTCTATAAGAATGGAAGAAAACCTTTTTGACTATGAATCATGTTCAGCATACAATTCTTAATTTGATGAGACTAAAAACAACTGATTTTAGTATGTAGATATTGTAAATTACATCACTTATGTTTCCTATTAAAGAGGTCCATTTAGGTATTTTCAACTTTGGGAAATTGTGCTGACTGACCAAAACAACAAGATCTGAAACCATCATCACTTCCAGTCACCATCCCCTCTATAGAGCACCTGGTATTCAAGTCACCAACAATTCCAAAGACAGTCTATATGAGTGCTGCAAGTCCACAAATGAAAGCCACTATGATGAGGAATGGTAGCCAAGTCTTGAGAAATGCCCCAAAACTGAAAATTAAAACATTTATTTTACTGGTAATATGCAAACAAACCTACTACAATTGACAAATTCCAAAATTAACTTAATTTAAATTGTAAATATGGCCATTGGTTTTCGATAAAAATTAATATTCATTATGTAAATGTGATTGTTAAAAGTACAATGTCTAGCAAATACCCACCTAACATATCTTGAGTAGGGAATCATGTAGAGTGCTAGTTTCACCATGTTCCAATTCTTGCAGCCATCATAGTTCATAATGTTCAGTGCGGTGGCCACATGGGAGTGGCAGTTGTCATAAAATATGATATGCTGGAAAAAACATTAAGACAATCTTTATGATATTAATAAAGCAATGATTAATAAATGTTGTCACTTTGTACTTGTTATGTTTATGACGCCGAAAACAGAAGTAAGGTGTTCAAGACAATATTTTTAAATAAACAGAAAGTACCTACATAACATAAACTTGTTTAAACAGGAATTTCAAAATTTAAATTGTCAACTAGGCATTTCCTCACCATTCTCTTTTTATATATTTCTGAAGCCTCAGCAACAGCAGCGTCCCAGCCGGACTGGCCGTTGTTCGCCTTCTGCGGGGTCAGCTGCCAGTACTTGGTGGGATTGCCAAACGCCATCAAGTCTTCCGACACGAAGTATGGCCCAGCAAAGTCTCGGATCACACCGTTGGACATACAAATGCCCATGTGGCCAAGGAAGGGGAAGATCCATCTAATTAGAAAAATATACATTTTTATCACATTATTTAGGTTATCGGTACTGCATATCAAAACTTCGCAACGAATTAACCAACTTTTACAGTTGACTGAGGCAAATAAATATTAATAGCACGAAAAACTTACGTTAAAACAGGGATAGGAGTCCAAACTATGCAGTAAGGGTACCTTGCCCTTTCGTGGTCAATAGGATCCATTAGAACCGCTTGTTCGGTGTCGCCGATGTCTAATGGACTTCCCGGACTTCGGTCGCCGCTCATAATAACTTCGCAAGGCTAGACAAATCGATTCTTTTACATTTCTACCAAAACATGGAAATCGAAAGTAATCAAATCAAATCAACAATTAACTTTTGACAATTGACATCTGTCATATTGACAGCATAACTTTTTTTTTATCTATGGGGGCGTTTGGAGGAAAATAGAGCGCTTAGTAAGTAAAATGGCGTCCTTTTTTACTGTCACTGTGCAGCTGTGCTGCAGTTCTTAAAAAATGGTAAACGTTACTTGATAACCTCCTCCTTTTTTGAAGTCGGTTAAAAACATGCCATTGTTGCTGCGTTCAGCAGAAAAGAGCATTGTTAGCATAGCATTGTTGTTGTAATGCCCGTTTTCACAATCAATCCCTAATTTTTAAGTGACCCCTATAAAATATTAGGCAATACCTAACAGGAACTTCGTTTTCACTAACACCTAAGGGAACAGGACCAGGTAGGGTTTTTGTAGTATCATTGAGAATACACCCAAACATCTTTTTATTTTTTTATTAATACTTAAAAATACTGATATTATTATGTCTTTGCAGTTTTGGTCAATTATTTCTTAGTTTTACTTTTATTTCATTAGTTTCTGAGAAATACGGAAGATAATAATAAATTACCGGATTTTCATACGTCATTGGGCGCAAGGAGAAACGCCAACTAACAAAGGAGTCCTTACCTAGGTATAGGCTTAAATCATTTTTTAACTCGTGAGTTACAATTTCTTACATAATAAAAAAAAATCCTTAGAAGAAAATATTAAGTGAACTTTACATGACTTATTTGTTAACGACGGACAACTACGGAACTCTATACTGCGCGTGGCACGACACGCACTTGGCTTATTTTTATTCATATCTCCTGATTCTCATAGTTAACAACTATAATATCATGCAAGAGATATCAGTGCAAATGTTATATGAGTAATAACATTCAACGTAGAGGAACGGTCAAAATAAAAAACGCTGCTTACAAACGTCATTAGATTGTATGTCAGAAACTTAACAATTAATGGTGTCGACGGGATGAATGAAGTCGACGGGAATGCACTAATCGTATTCGTAATATTATTGTAAAATTCATATTAAAATTAATTTATTTCTATCCTATGGTTCAGTCGTCGTAGTTCTCCAGGCTGAGGGTGATGACGTCACTCACGAGGCAGTCCGCAGGCTGCAAGAAAAATTTACGTCACAATTGTTACAGTTCAATTTTTATTACATTCCTTAATTTGACAGAGAAGCATAGCCAATGGGAATCTTTTTTTTATGCAAGACAAAGCAGGTATTTGACCGCAAATCGCTAAAAGTATAATAATATTAATTTAATTTATTTAACTTTGGATAATTTCACACAGCGCCATCTAGCCCCAAAGTAAGCAACAAGCAAGTGGTAGGCCCTTTTCACATGTCCCGGTTTCCGGCTAACCGGCGCCGGGTACGGTACCCGGTGGTAAAGTGTATGGGCATGCCGGATTAATTACGCCGGAACATGTGAAAGCTACGTACCATGCCCATACACTTCACCACCGGGTACCCGGCGCCGGTTAGCCGGCAACCGGGACATGTGAAAAGGGCCTTATGGCCAATGTGCCTCCGTAGCTATATTGGCTTACCTCTGAGCATATCCCGACGAGCGCGTCGGCGCAGCCGTAGAACTCCTCCTTGAGCGAGATGACGATGGTCTGCAGGCTGCCGCGCTTGGAGCGGATGTACGACGCCACCTTGCCGATGTTGGTGTTATCCAACGCCGCGTCGATCTCGTCGAGAAGGAAGAATGGCGCCGGTTGATAACTGGGAAACGACATTTGACAATAATTTTAATTTATNAAACGAACGAACGAACGAACGAACGAACATATATTTTGAACAAAATCACATGCCAGCTGCGCTGGTGAGATAGGCTGCACTTCTCTATAACTTATCTCGGTGAACTTTGACGTTAAAACATGTTTACACTCCAACCCGCCAGCTCTTTAGTAGGCAAAGATGCAGCTCCTCAGTTAAAATTAAAGTTATTTTTTTAAATCGAAACGTCTGATAAATTATATAAATTCTTCAGAGAGGGCAATAACTCAATCACGACCTCGTCAAATATAACGACAACAATATTTTTGGTGAAACTTTTTTTAATCGTTACTTTTGCCCCTTCATCTTTAACGTCCAAAAGTTGACGATTGCTGGGCTAGTGTATTCTTAGAAACCTCAAATGAAACTGTTCCGCTTCTGGACATGGTCGCAAGCGTATCCATCTGATGTTGTCTTGTTCTGTGTGACGTACTAATGAGGGCTATCGTTTTAGCGCTCACCAGTTAGCGCCAATGTAGAGTAAGGTCCTGTCACTTGCTAGTCGCGAAGACAGTGGCACCAACACCAACTGGAGAGCGCTAAAGTGATAGGAGGACTATCGTATTTGCACTCATCAAGATGGCGCCACTGTAGAGTAAGGTCCTGTCAATCGCCGGGGGTGCCAACTGTTAAGTATAAAAACGTTAGCCCTCATTGCGTGCAATCTGCTGGCGGTCATTACTCGACCGACCGCAGATCATTGCGGACGTGCGCGCACGGCGGAGTGGATTCTGTATTTTATTATCACCCCAGCCCAGACCCAAGACACCACACGTTGTTGTGGGAGCGTCGCGCCTCTATCATGTATGCAGCGTGCCTACTTGGTGGATATTTACCTGTGTATGGCGAAGAGCAACGCGAGCGCGGCGACGGTTTTCTCTCCGCCGGAGAGGTTGGACATGGGCTGGAAGCGCTTGCCGGGCGCCACGCAGTTGTAGTTGATGCCGTCCAGGTACGGCTCCTCCGGGTTCTCGGGGCCCAGGAACGCCTGCGCCGACTGGTTCATGGCCAGCGCCTGGAGGAACACACCGGGAATTAACATCTACATTCGTTCGAAAAGACGAAAGACGTCCACTGCTGGACAAAGGCCTCCCCCAAGGATTTCCACTAAGACCAGTCCCGCGCCGCTCGCATCCAGGCACTTCCCACATTCATCATCATTATTTAAGCCATAGGACGTCCACTGACGTCGATTTGTACTAAGTACTATTATATTAGTCTAAACAAATAAAGAAATTTTGACTTTTTCTTTGACTTTGACTGCCGAACATAGGCCTCCCCCAATGATTGCCACTCCAGCTGATGATCCACATTAGTGACAATAAGTAAATTTTTGACCACGTAATGTTTGAGTTCGTTCTTCCGCCAATGTTTGAGTGTTATCGGTACACTAAATCATCTATGAGTGCACACGCACACTACAATAATGACGCTCGGACCAAAAATTAGTGGGACGCGTCTTCGTGGATGAAACGGTCTATACTACAGTGACATTTACGACAGTTTTAAAACAAATATTCAGAGTATATTTGGTGGCATAGCACTGATAGAGTTAGCGAGAAATAATATTTTACGTACCTTGTAGATAGCATCTATCTCGTTGGCCACGTGCTCGAAGCAATCTATGAATTTGTCGTGTCGCTCCTTTTTCACCTGGGGGAAGCGAGTTTGATCAAATCTAATGTTCATTTGTGATCAGTTTACGACGAGGATAATGAGTTCAATTTACAATAATTCCATTTCGTTAACTCATTTATTTTTGCAAATAGGCTTTAAAAAAGCACTTTTACACGTCCCAGTATTAACCCTACCACTGCTTCGGGACAATAAATGGGCCAGTGTTGAGAAGAATCAGCCAAAAATCAAGAAACTCACGCCCGTATTCACAAACATTACTATGAGGTCTCACAGTGCGCGTGGACGCACAGGGTGACACATTAACCAATCACAGAGCTCTATTCAAGGCTGTGCGTTCGATTTACTGCTTTACTTAAGCAAGCATCGTTTGTGAATACGGGCGTCAGTCACTATTGTCAGGCGATATTGTTGATAACGTCAAAGTATATGTATAAAAGGGCGTACCTTCTCGAAGGCGAGCTTGGCCTTGTGCGCGCGCTTCCGCGCCACGACGAAGGCCTCGTTGGTGGCGCTCACTTTCTCGCGCACCTCGTTGAGCTTCTGCATCGCCTGCGACACGTCATAGAGCCCATCAGGTAATGCATAATGGACAAATACCACGGCCTCATCGTGAAGGTCATCCGATCTTCACTACAGGACCCCGATTACGCCAATTGGTAATGTCTCCAATTCATTCACGTGTCATCTCTAGTCCACCCTCCAAACTACTTACTAAAAATACTAAAACACAGCAAATGTTCGTGAAGCGTTTGACAAAAAGTAGCTCTCCATCAGCTTTTACTCAAAGGCGCAGTTGCGTTCCATTTATAATACAGCATCGTTTGAACTAGCTGTCAAAACGACACCGCGATATGGATTTGTAAAACAGCTGATGTTCGTTCGTCGTCCAGTTGCATTGCAGTTGAAAATATTTAGCGCAATCGGGGCACCGGCTGTCTCATAAAAATGACAGCTAATTTTGTGTGCCAATTTGAAGCGCCACTACGAGTGTCCCGAGAACTAATTTTGACACTCGTATCTGCCTACAGTATGGCCTACAGCGCCAAAATGGCGAAAATCAAATAGGAACAAAATATTATGACATCAGCCAGTCCAGTATGTACAGAGGACAGTGGCACCACTAATTTCTACAAGAAATAAAACACTCATCACTGTCAAAGCGTGCGTACCCTCATGTTGGGCGCCTGTATCTTGTCGACGGTGTTCTGCAGCGCGTTGATGGCCTTCTGCAGCTTGTCGGCCTTGCGCTTGATCTCGTCGGGCTCCTCCAGGTCCTTCAGGCTCTCCGACAGCGAGCGGTAGTTCACGCGGATCCTGGACAAAGCCGATACACACTACTGAATATGTGCTAAGTATGGTTGGAGTAATCATAATCATAATATCTTTATTGCTTCCTGTGGTACAAACAAGGTATTAAAAATAAAGCAGTCCCAGAACATGATATGTAATGGAATAAAACTTTTTTGTCGAATATGTATTTTAACATACATAGTATAAACATTTATTCGGCGCGCATTTGTCGGCCGTTTGGTGTAAAGGTTTGGAACGACTACTATGCCGAGAGGTCCCGGGATCTATTCCCGGCCGGGCAGAAATTGAAATGATGAATTTTAATTTCTGTGACGTCTGGGTGTTACTATGTATAATATGTATTTACAAAAAAAAGTATTTAAGTATGTTTATATCCATTGTCTAGTACCCATAGTACAAGCTTTGCTTGGTTTGGGACTAAAACTAGTAATTATTATTCATTAATTGCCGCAGAATCGCTAAAATCAAGTGACAGTGGGCGGGACACATAGCTCGTAGAGGTGATGGCCGCTGGGGCAGGAAAGTTCTTGAGTGGCGACCACGAGCCGGAACTTCCGGAAGACGTAGCGTGGGCAGGCCTCCTTCTAGGTGGACCGACGATTTGGTGAAGGTCGCGGGAGGTGCCTGGATGAAGCGGCGCATGACCGGTCTTTGTGGAAATCCTTGGAGGAGGCCATTGTCCAGAAGTGAACATCTTTCGGCTGAAACGAACGGACGAACGGAATTGTCGGGGAAGTATTTTGGACACAAGTTTCCGCGTATAAATGTAATCGAACACTCCTGGTTTGTTCTGTATTCTGAGGCCCAAAACTACAAACCGGTAGAATAAACAACGACAGATGGTTGGTACCTGGAGTCGCGGTTGTACTGCTGCGTGGTGGAGGCGGACGAGGGCTCGGACTCCTGGTCGGCCGTGTCGTCCAGGCTGCCCTCCAGCAGCGGGATCATTATGTCGTCGATCTGCAACAGCAGTACACGGTGTTAAGGCTGATTTACACGTAAGTATTTAATTTTAAAGGTCGCGGGAAGAGCCTGGATGCGGGCAGCGCAGGACCGTGCATTGTGGAAAACCTTGGAGGAGGCCTTTGTCCAGCAGAGGACGTCATTTGGCTGAAACGAACGAACGATTTAATTTTAACCTTATTTTAAGTGATCAAATTGCATCGTCACTAAATTTTAATTTAATTCCAAACGTCAAGCTCTTGTTTACTATGAAATTGCTTGTCAAAACGTGTCAAGTGACAAGCCCCGCCCACACAGACAGAAAAATCAAGTTAAAAGTTAGTTACCTATTTATCTACATAGAACGTGTAAATCAGCCTTTAGATCACATGGAGCTGGCAGAGCCCGGAACCTCAGGAATGTCTAACTAAAGGCACAAGTTGGTAGCGGACGACGTGTTGCAGCGAGACGAAACTAGCGACAACTACGGAGGGAATTTAATAAAAATACATAGAAACCAGTAGTGTCGCAGACTCGTCGTCCGCTACCAACTAGTACCTTAGAGAGGCTACTACTTAAAGCTCATTAAGAGCGTTTACGTCTAGCGTGGCATGTCAAGTTNGCAAGCGTATCCATCTGATGTTGTCTTGTTCTGTGTGACGTACTAATGAGGGCTATCGTTTTTATACTCAACAGTTGGCACCCCTGGCGATTGACAGGACCTTACTCTACAGTGGCGCCATCTTGATGAGTGCAAATGCGATAGTCCTCCTACCACTTTAGCGCTCACCAGTTGGTGCCACTGTCTTCGCTACTAGCAAGTGACAGGACCTTACTCTACAATGGCGCCATCTTGATAAGTGCAAATGCGATGGACCTCCTACCACTTTAGCGCTCACCAGTTGGTGCCACTGTCTTCGCTACTAGCAAGTGACAGGACCTTACTCTACAGTGGCGCTAACTGGTGAGCGCTAAAACGATAGCCCTCATTGCGTGCAATCTGCGGGCGGTCATTACTCGACCGACCGCAGATCCTTGCGGACGTATGCGCACGGCGGAGTGAAGTGTATTCTGTATTTTATTACCACCCCAGCCCAGACCCAAGACACCACACGTTGTTGTGGAAGCGTCGCGCCTCTATCATGTATGCAGCGTGCCTACTTGGTGGATATTTACCTGTGTATGGCGAAGAGCAACGCAAGCGCGGCGACGGTCTTCTCTCCGCCGGAGAGGTTGGACATGGGCTGGAAGCGCTTGCCGGGCGCCACGCAGTTGTAGTTGATGCCGTCCAGGTACGGCTCCTCCGGGTTCTCGGGGCCCAGGAACGCCTGCGCCGACTGGTTCATGGCCAGCGCCTACGGGAACACACCGGGAATTAACATCCACATTCGTTCGAAAAGACGAAAGACGTCCACTGCTAGACAAAGGCCTCCCCCAAGGATTTCCACTAAGACCGGTCCCGCGCCGCTCGCATCCAGGCACTTCCCACATTCATCAACATCATTTCAGCCATATGACGTCCACTGCCGAACATAGGCCTCCCCCAATGATTTCCACACTGATGATCAACATTAGTGACAATAAAATCCAATTCATACTGGCCTTGGCCTTTATTTTGATCGTTTCATCCACGAAGACGCGCCACACCGTACTTCCTGTAATGCTTGAGTGTTATCGGTACACGCTCAATCATCCATGAGTGCGCACGCACACTACAATAATGACGCTCGGATTGCTCGGATCAAACTACCTGCACCCCGCGCTTCCCTCGACCAAAATGATGTGGTGAGGCGTGTCTTCGTGGATGAAACGATCTATACTACAGTACATTTATGACAGTTTTAAAACAAATATTCAAATCAAAGTATAGCACATACGTAGCACTGATAGAGTTAGCGAGAAATAATATTGTACATACCTTGTAGATAGCATCTATCTCGTTGGCCACGTGCTCGAAGCAATCTATGAATTTGTCGTGTCGCTCCTTTTTCACCTGGGGGAAGCCAGTTTGATCAAATCTATGTTCATTCGTAAACAGTTTACGACGAGCATAGTGAATTCAATTTACAATAAATCAATTTCATTGATATAGATCGTTTTATCCACGAAGAAGCGCCCCACTGCTTTTTGGTTGAGAGAAGCGCGGGGTGCGGGAAGTTCGATCCGAGCAATCCGTGTGAAAACAGCGTTACAATTGGATAATTATCCATGAGTGCACACGCACACTACAAAATGACGCTCGGATTGCTCGAATCAAACTCCCTGCACCCCGCGCTTCCCTCGACCAGAGTGGTGGGGCGCGTCTTCGTGGATGAAACGATCTATAACTAGTAAGTGAAAATGGCGTACCTTCTCGAAGGCGAGCTTGGCCTTGTGCGCGCGCTTCCGCGCCACGACGAAGGCCTCGTTGGTGGCGCTGACTTTCTCGCGCACCTCGTTGAGCTTCTGCATTGCCTGCAATACGTCATAAAGCCCATCAGGTAATGCATAATGGACAAATACCACGGCCTCATCGTGAAGGTCATCCGATCTCCACTACAGGGCCCCGATAACGCTAATTGGTAATGTCTCCAATTCATCTCTAGTCCACACTCCAGTCACACTCCGATTTCATTCCAGCTGATGTGCAATTCGGTTTCGCGGTAAAGTTCACACGCAATAAATACGGAACAATGGATTTATGCACTTTTCAATAAAAGTCCGATCATCTTACTTTTGAAACTACTTACTAAAACACAACAAATGTTCGTGATGCGTTTAAATTGCGTTTGAGAAAAAGTAACTTTCTGTCAGCTTTTACTCAAAGGCGCATTTGCGTTCCGATTAAGTTACAGCGTTTGAACTAGCTGTCAAAACGACACCGCGATACGGATTTGTTAAAACAGCTGATGGTCGTTCGTCGTCCAATCGCGTTGCATTTGAAAATATTTAGCGCAATCGGGGCACCGGCCGGACAGGCTGTCTTATACAAATGACAGCTAATTTTGTGTGCCAATTTAAAGCGCCACTACGAGTGTCCCGAGAACTAATTTTGACACTCGTATCTGCCTACAGTATGGCCTACAGCGCCAAAATGGCGATAATTAAATAGGAACAAAAATGTTATGACAGCAGCCAGTCCAGAGGACAGTGGCACCACTAATTTCTACAAGAAATAAAACACTCATCACTGTCACAGCAGCGTACCCTCATGTTGGGCGCCTGTATCTTGTCGACGGTGTTCTGCAGCGCGTTGATGGCCTTCTGCAGCTTGTCGGCCTTGCGCTTGATCTCGTCCGGCTCCTCCAGGTCCTTCAGGCTCTCCGGCAGCGAGCGGTAGTTCACGCGGATCCTGGACAAAACCGCATGCTATTGAATATGTGCTATGGTTTCAGTAATGTAATAAAACTTTTTTTACGAATATGTATTTATTATTCGGCGGGCCGTTTCGTGTAATGGTTCGGAACGGACTTCTATGCCGAGAGGTCCCGAGTTCTATTCCCGGCCAGATAGAAATTGAAATGATGAATTTTAATTTCTGTGACGTCTGGGTGTTACTATGTATAATATGTGTGTATTTATAAAAAAAAGTATTTAAGTATGTTTATATCCGTTGTCTAGTACCCATAGTACAAGCTTCGCTTGGTTTGGGACTAAAACTAGAAATTATTATTCATTAATTGCCGCAGAATCGCTAAAATTAAGTGTCAGTGGGCGGAGCACATAGCTCGTAGAGCTGATGGCCGCTGGGGCAGAAAAGTTCTTGAGTGGCGACCACGAACCGGAAGACGTAGCGTGGGCAGGCCTCCCACTAGGTGGACCGACGATCTGGTGAAGGTCGCGGGAGGTGCCTGGATGCGAGCGGCGCAGGACCGGTCTTTGTGGAAATCCTTGGAGGAGGCCTTTGTCCAGAAGTGAACATCTTTCGGCTGAAACGAACGAACGAACGGAATTGTCGGGGAAGTATTTTGGACACAAGTTTCCGCGTATAAATTAATGTAATCGAACACTCCTTCTGGTTTGTTCTGTATTCTGAGGCCCAAAACTACAAACCGGTAGAATGAATAAGGCTGATAAGGGCCCCCGCTGAAAATCAGTTTCAAGACAAGCCCTGGCGGTCTTGATGTACGCTGAGCGGGTGCCTTTTTGTCAGAGGGGCACAAGCAGTTAATTGTCCACTTGTTTATTTCTCTCTGTTTTAATCTATGTCTTGCCTGCTTGTATACCTTTCTTGCAAATAAATAATGGCTATAAGTGGTGACTGAGTTTGTTCCGGCGTTTCTTCTCAGCACTTGCCATATGTTTGTCTCGAAGCGCTGGTAGGGCCCAAAAGATAAGGAGACATGTAAAGTGCCCCATAAGGGCTACCTTTTCTTTTTTTATTATTTTCTATTGACGTTCATAAGTGCCGCTTGTGGTCTAAACTGAATAAATATTTTTGATTTTGATTTTGATTGATTTTGAATAGAGCCTGGATGCGGGCAGCGCAGGACCGTTCATTGTGGAAAACCTTGGGGGAGGCCTTTGTCCAGCAGTGGACGTCATTTGGCTGAAACGAAGAATAGTTTTCTATTCTATTCTATAATAACGACAGACGGTTGGTACCTGGAGTCGCGGTTGTACTGCTGCGTGGTGGAGGCGGAGGAGGGCTCGGACTCCTGGTCGGCCGTGTCGTCCAGGCTGCCCTCCAGCAGCGGGATCATTATGTCGTCGATCTGCAACAGCAGCAGGAATGTCCAGTCAGCGTCAAATCGTTCCTGACACCCAAAGTGGTCAAAAAGTTGAAAACACAACCTTATTCCAATTGTAACAAAGACGTGTTGCAAATTTTTTGGCCACTTTGGGTGTCACGAACTATTTGACGCTGGCTGTGCATGATGTTACATGACATGGAGCGTCTGGCAGAGCCCGGAGCTTCAGAAATATCTAAAGAGGATCTTACTTAAAGCTCATCTTTCGCTGTTGATCGTGCCAGCTGTTCGAGAGTAATTTATTTATTTACAATTTTGCACACACAACTGTACAGTGGCGGACTTAATGCCAGGTGGCATTATCTGCCAGTCAACCACAGCATTTACAACATTACAACACATTTAGCAACCTCACTTATTGTGGATCGAATATTACAAAAGTTTTACTTAAAATCGAATCGTTTAGACTTTAAAATATACATAGTTATAAATATTTATGCAAGCTAGGCAGTTAAGCACCCATCCCAAAATTTTTTATCTTTTAAATAATCATCGCTTTTATAGTAGCCTTTTTTAACCGACTTCAAAAAAGGAGGAGGTTATATGTTCGACTGTATGTATTTTTTTTTTTTTTCTATGTAT